CCCTCTCTCTCTTCCCCCCCTCTCCCCCTCTCTCCTTAATTTACAAAGCCACTAATCCCAAAGGCCCCACCCTCATGACCCCATCTGACCCTAAATACCTCCCAAAGCCCTGCCTCCAAATACCATCACATGGAGGGTTAGGGCTTCAGCATACGAATTTGGGGCTGTGGAGGGACATAATCTAGTCCACAGCAAGCCTTACTGCAGGAAGGTGAAAGCCGATCGGAACTCTTCTATATTGGGGGTTTGGGGTGTGCTTTGCACAGGCTCAGAGGGCATTGGGGGAGAACGTGCAAGGGCTATTGAATCTTTGATATCAGGCCATTCGGGAGATGGAAGTCGCCTGTGCCATCACTGACTTTCTGAAGCATGTTGGCACACCCCCAGCACCTCGGGCTCCCGTCACTCTCGGGGGCAGACCTCCGGTCACCAGCGCTCACTGACCCACCCCTGCTATGTGTCAGTCTGTGCTGGAGCACTGGACACAGACCACATCCTGTCAACCTCCCAGCAGTACCCCCATTTACCACGGGGGAAACTGAGGCACGAGAGGTGACGTGACTTGCCCAGACTTCATCCCCACTATGGGACAGAAGCCCTGGGAGGCTGGCCACTTGCCCCCTCACACAGTGGGTTCGATGGTAGAGCGCAGACGAGCAGCAATTCGTTTTGTTTAGCACTGAAGTCATTTTATGCACACTCCACTCACGCACCTCAGACACGCTTGCTGGATGTTTAAAACGACCCCGTGTGCAGTAGGAATTAGCATCCGCGTTTTGGCAGGTAAGGAAGTAGAGGTTCAAGGAGAGCAAATGTCTTGGGAGCTGAGGAACAGGCCCAGTGTTTCTGTCCAAGTCTCTGCCTCCTCATCGCACTGACTGCCTCCCCCTACCAGCATTTTCCAAACCTCAGTCATTTGAGCACCACCCCGGTGAAGTGTTTCATATCCACATACCACGCTCTGCGGTTATTTACCTAATGTTTCCCTTTAAATCGGCTCAATTTCTACTTCAGTAACTGTATCTTGAAAGTGAACTTTGTATCACTGCTATCAAAAGAAACCGTAGCTTGAAAAATGAATACAATGAAAACAGCACAATCACGCCATATTCTGGCTGCTGCCAGTTCTGAGCTGAGCGTCAGCTGCCTGCTGTTTGCACAAAAGGATATAACCCAAATGTTAGGAAGATGTTCAAAGTATCCTTGCACCAGCCAAGGCGCTTCCCTTGGCTTAATCGGAAGGCTCAACAGAGACCTGGAAAGGGAATAGCTTTTATGCTATGGGATTCGATGCTCTCCAATGCCCAGCCGTGTGACATGTCCCATGATCTCATCCTATACTTTGGGAAGCGGCTCCAGGCACCTGTGGAGAGGGAAGAATCCAAGACATGGAACCAGTAGGGGATGAATGCTGTGAGGTGGGAAAGGCAGCCACGTGCAGCCCTGGGAACTAGGAGTTCGTCACAAGCTAGGCGCCTGGGGAGTGGGTCAGGATTGAGGAGAAAGGTACCAGGGCCTGAACTCGCTGGGCGCCTGCCCTAGAGACCAAAGTACAAAGCCGGCCTGCAAAGTCCAGAGAGCTGGAGGAGAGAAGGGGGCCCCTGGCCCCTGGAAGGACCCCACCCCCACCACCCCGCTCTAGGTCTGGTCCTGGCAAGACTTCAGCACATGGGCCTCAGGGGGCCTTTGTTTAAAGGCTGCTCAGCTGGACCCAGCTGGGTGCCCTCAAGTAAATATTAATATTACCACTCGCGGTTCACAGCCAGGGTCCTGGGCATCCAAGCCCTGTGAAGAGTCTTCACATCCACTAGGCCCCCACGTGTGTGCCAGTGTGCCATGAACGTCTCCTTTTGTCTTATTTAATCCTAACCTTTGAAGTAGGTGCTACCTTGAACCCGTGGGCTAGGTGGCAGGCAGCTCCGTCCCCCAGCCCGCCCATCCTGGACCCGCCACATCCTACTGCCACCGTTAACACCAGAACCCCTGTGTTTTCCTTTCACGCTTCTCGGTTCGGCCGCCCCCACGGCTGACCGTTAGCCAAGTTCTGTCTCTACCTTTCGGCGGGGGAGGGGGAGAGCAACTTGTCATAACACTCATAAAGCACTTGGAAAAGTACTTGGAGCACAATAAGCGCCGTAGAAGTATGAGCTATCGTTCTTTAATACCGTTCTGAGATGTGTATTTGTCCTGCTGAGGTCCTTTCCCACCCAGACAATCTTTATTTTCTACATCGTGTCAACACACACCTCTGCCCTGATCAGGCCAGTGTCCACACCATACTCTGGCTGTGCCATACTGAGTCCCAGTCAGGGGAGTGGAATTACCACAAGGGAGCGAGACCAGTGGTTTTCAGCCCTCATTACACATCAGCATCCTCTGGAGGAAATTTTTTCTATAGGCTTGACATTAGAGCAACATGAAAAGTAACCCCCTCCCAAAAAAAAAAAAAAAACAAAGAAGAAGAAGGAAAACTGGGAACTTTCTCACAAGAGGCAGGATTTGGGGCTTCTCTTGAAAATCAGAAAATCTGGGGACACTGGGTCTGCATTCCTGCAGAAAATGAAAAGCAGGCATGAGTGGCAGCACCCAGACCTGAGACCAGGGTGTCCAGGGCAGGGCCTGGTACCCGTCAGCACGAGCTCAGGTGAACCTTAGCCCCCGGCTTGGAGATCACTCGCTGGAGTCCATCCCATCTTGGCGTGTTCCCTTTAATCCTGTTCCACCCTCTCCCAACCTCTAAGTATAGCTCGGTTATTTTTGCCAAATGCAGCACCTTGTACTTGCCCACACCGATGCGCGTCCTTGGCAACTCCCGTGCCCACTCGCACAGCCTGCTGAGCGATTCCCGCAGTTTGTCACCAGTGGCTTGGCATTTCACTACCTGGCACAGCTGAGTGTCACCAGCACACGTGGCATTCTCACCACGTTTCTCCTCCAGATCAGTTAGGCAACTGTCACACACAAAGCCAGTCCCAGCACTGGCACCCTGCTGTTTTCCATCAGTTGATTAACTAACTCATGACAACCCACCCAAGTCTCTGGGCGCGAGCACAGAAACCAGCGGTGTGAGCTGAGGTGGCAGAAGGGGTTTCGTGCTGGTCGGGGCTTCCCCATGGTGGTGTGTTGACATTTGGGGCTGGAAGACTCTGGTTTTTTGTTTTTGTTTTTGTTTTTGTTTGGAGGGGGCGTGTCCTGTGCATGTTGAGAACCAGCCCTGACCTGGTTTCTTCCCACCAGATGCCAGTAACACTTCTCTCCTTCCCCTACCCTAAACCCTGACAACCAAGCTTGTCTCCAGATGTTGCCACATGCCTTGGGAATGGGGGGAGGGGGGGTTCACTCTCCATTGAGAATCTGTAAGGATGGGAAAGCTGGAGAAATGTGCCTTAGAAGAGATAGCAGTCAGAGACATTCAGAGTTCTAGGCAGTGAAAGCTGATAGGCGGTTGAGTTTGAATCCTGGTTCCACCATTTCCTAGTTGTGTGACTTTGGACAATGACTTAACCTCTCTGTGCCTCAGTGTCCTCATCTGTAAAATGAGATAATCGGGACAAATGGGGTTATACCGTCGAAACGAGCAACTCCCAAACATCAGCAGCTTAAAACACATGCTGGGGTCCGATCACGTTGCCAGCACCAGGAGACCAACCGCGACTGGACCAGGCTCTACCGTCTTGCTGATCAAAATGACAAGGAGAAAAGAAAGCAAGGGATAAATTGGCTCTGAAATGTCTCTTCCTGAAAGTGATCACATCACAATCCACTGATCATAACCCATTGATCGAAGCCAGTCACGTGGCTAGTGGATTGGAAGGGGACAACAGAGTGAAAACCTGCCATGTGACTGGAGAAAGAAGAGGAAATATTGATTCACAAACAGCACTTGATGTTGGATGCAAGTAATAACGATACAGACTCTACAAAATTGTTGGGAAGGGTAAACAGATGAACACATACAGAGTTTCTAGAACAGGGCCTGGCACCTATGAACTGCTCAGTGAATACTAGATGATTGTTATTTTTTTAATTCAGCAAGTGTTTATTGAGCACCATGATGGTCAGTTCCATGTGAATAACCCAGTTAGTCCATTAAACACTGATCTACATGTTG